GAAAGTACTCACATACTCCAACACATTTGTTTGTGCATCATCACACAACAGTCTCTCTTTCAGCAACTTCAATGGTCCACGTACTGAGTGACCGTATACCAACTCAAAAGAACTGAAACCAAGCGACTCTTGAACAGCATCCCGCACAGCAAACAATAACAAGGGAACTCCCTCATCCCATTGTTTCTCTGACTCCATACAATAAGTTTTCAACATATTCTTCAAAGTCTGGTGGAATCTCTCCAGTGCTCCCTGGGACTCTGGGTGGTATGCACTCGAAACTACATGTTTTACGCCCAGTTCCTTCAACACCTGATTGAACACCCTAGACATGAAATTTGATCCTTGATCAGATTGTACAGTTGTTGGTAGCCCTACAGTAGTGAAAAATTTCACTAACGCCTTTGTCACATTATTCGCTGTAATGCGCCGCAGTGGTATCGCTTCGGTATATCTCGTCGCAGCGCACATTATCGTCAATAAGTATTCATTACCTGCCTTTGTCTTTGGCAGAGGACCTACACAATCTACTATGATCCTAGAAAATGGCTCATCGAACGCCGGTATTGGCTTCAATGGTGCTGCCGGTATTTTCTGATTCGGTTTACCTACAACTTGACATGCATGGCAACTTCTGCAAAAATTTGCAACATCTTTTTGCACACCTGGCCAAAAGAAATGAGAAAGAATTTTCTCCTGGGTTTTGTGAACCCCTAAGTGACCTGCAAGTGGAGCTTCATGAGCAAGGCTAATTATGTCCTGCCTGTATGTAGAAGGGACTACAATTTGGTGGACTTCTTTCCACACCTCATCTGCAGGGACATCTGCTGGCCTCCACTTTCTCATTAGCACACCTGCTTTCTTGTAATAACAAACAGGCACAGTCAATGCCTCCTCCTCAGAAACAGCTCTCTCATTCAAAGAAATCAACTGAGGATCTGTCTGTTGCTCCTTTAGCAACTTACTCTTTTTCAAAGATAGTGGTTCAGATGTTTCACTATTTCCTACACTACGATCCTTTCTCGCACTCTCATCCACATTGGAATCAGACTCATCTTCAACCAAACGACAAAAGAAAGAATCTCCCAAGTCAACATCTACGTCATTGGACTTCTTCTCCGACTCAACTTTCTTTGCCATTGAACGAGTTACAGCACATGCTGGGAACACAACAGGAAATTCTGCAACCAACTCATCTGTCTCAGAACTTTCACAAGGACTAGAACTTACTACTGGACATGATACGACTCTGTCACCAGCGAGATCATTACCTAATATGATAGATACCTCTTCCACAGGAAGTGATGGTCTAACTGCCATCTTCACCATACCAGAAACAAGGTCTGACTTCAAGTCTACCACATGAAGGGGTGCTTCCACAAAGCCGTCTCCAATGCCTTTGAGCAAAACACTAGCACCAACAGAAGAACTATCACAAAAGGGCAACGCACTTTCCAAAATCAAGGACTGAGAAGCACCAGTATCCCGCAAGACTTTCACTTTTCTTGCTACATCACTCTCTGCTACAGATACATATCCTACAGACACAAACGGTTCATACTCTTTCTGAATTTTTTCCATGTTCGCTGGTACAATTCTACTTTGTGAGTTTGATGTAGTTTGTACGAATGCATTAGGATGTGCACTAGATTCCTGTTTCTTAGCCTGAAGTGAAGGACACTTTGACTTTATGTGCCCATACTGTTTGCAAGCATAGCACATTCTTTCCCCTGTTACCTGTCCTTGCTGGGACTGCGGTTTTATTTCATCCTTTTCTTGTGATGAACTAGTTTTTTGGCTTTTGCCCCAGTTTCCATTTTTCTTAGGTTCTACGCTCATTTTGTTAGAGATTTTGTGCGTGAGCACGTAATCATCCGCGATTCTTGCTGCTTCATCCAGCGAATCGACGCGCTGCTCCTCGAGATGTATACGAACATCCAGTCGCACGCTGCGCTTGAATTCCTCAAGTAGAAGAATTTCACGCAATTTATCATAATCATGATCTACATGGAGAGATGAGCTCCATCTGTCAAACAATTGCTCTTTTTGTTTTGAAAACTCCATATGAGTTTGCGATTCTTCCTTTCGCGCTTTGCGAAATCGCTGCCTGTACGCTTCAGGTACAAGTTCGTAAGCTTTTAGCACGCTCGATTTTACTTTATCGTAATCCGACACATCGGCCATCGACATTGCTAAGTAGGCATCCCTAGCCTTACCGCTAAACTTACTCTGAATCAGGTGAGCCCACATTTCCCTAGGCCACCCCATGCTTTGAGCTAATTTCTCAAAGTGTGGAAAATACTTTTCCACTCCTTCCTCTTCGAACGGAGGGACCATTCTGACATGCTTTGCTACGTCAAAATGTCTATCAGCATTTCTGCTCTCTTTTCTGTTTACGGCAACAAGTTTCTCCCTCTCCAACTCTACTCTCGCCCTCTCTAATTCTAGCTCCTTTATCCTCACTTCATCCGAAACTGAAGACCTAGCCTGAGAATTTAATTCAGGAGACCGAGACCTAGACCCTGGAGGAGTCACACTGATACTGTCCGCCGCCTCTAAAGACAAAACCTCTTCAGAAACCAGAAACTCGACAATCCTGTTCAAAATGTCCGACTTCAGCATGTAACGTTTAATGCCAACAACCTCATAATGAGCTGCTACATCTAATAATTCAACTTTAGTCAACGAGCTTAATCGCTCCGCAGACGGATCCCTAACAAACTCTCCCAACGAGAACTCGCTAGCCATCATGCAAAAAACCTAGTCTCCTAAATTACCTAGAAAGAACTAGAGCCTGGCTGTTATAATCCCCAGCCAACCTTAAAACACCTAGATTCTACAATATCCGAGAAATCTAGACAACCTGACTGTTATAACTCTCAGTCAAACCCTGCAAATCCATGCAGAAACATGAGAAGACAACAATGTTTTTCTCATCACACACACCACGAATGCTCGAACCTGAAACGACTACCACCGTACCCCAGCGGTGCCCGACGATATCATCTTAACGAACCGACATCGACAACACACACACAGTACACACCGACCAGTCCGCTCATAAGGAACGTGTATGTAACTCGTCGCACGCAATGTAATGCAACATGCCAGCGCTAATATGATCACAAAAATCACCTGAAAATCATACTTTTCACTTTATATACCTGGCCGAGCCCCCATTTGTTACGAGTGGTTTCCTCTACCCGTTGTCCCTGGGTCCTTTGTTCCACAACAACAGATTACACAACACAAAGTGGTTAGATTTCAAGGGCTGATCTTCATTATTGAGCTTCGTTCTTCAACTCCAAATACTAGACTAACTCGTCCTGAGGACGGTCCTTACAATGTATCTAGATTCGGTCGATACACCCATCACAATAATTATCATTATGCTTCGTTTACAAAATTGTCACACAGCCGTCAGCCACACATGAAGATTAGAAAGACAAAAATTATAACGTTTCTTTCACAAAATCCTATAAAATGTATCACTCGAAGAGATTTTTTTTTTTTTTTTTAATAATAAAAAAAAAATAAAAATAATAATAATAATAATAATAAAATTGTGCTAATTGGTGACCCAAAATGATAGACCTTAACCCCCCCCCCCAATACTGATGGACCAAATTTCCAAATTTTGGGACACAAAAAAAAAAATATGTCCTCTTACAGAATTTAAAGAATACACTTATCGTAATCTGAAAGTGATCTCACAGCGCAGTGGCAGAATTGCATGGCTGAGATTTGTTAAAGTCGTGTTTACAAAGAAGATTCTGGTGAAAAGCATTGCTTATTCAAAAAAATCTTTGCATCAATTTGAATCAACAAGATTATTTGTCGCATGATCCTTTCATTAAATAACCTTGTTATCTTTTTCGTTTACAGGGGGAGAAGAAGCTATGTCACGTTAAGAAATCATAAAGATCAGTTATATTGTGCGTATATACATTATGAATACAGAACAAAATGTTGATTATTAAAATGTCATTTTGAAATACCTCTATTAAAAAAATTAAAAAATGAATTTGCCGATACCACATTGTCTTTAGCCCGTATCAGTATTAGTATGAGCCAATATTAAGTTATTATTCTTTATTCAGTTCAGTATAATACTTTTCCTCAAAAATAGTTTCGCTTTTTTTTTTTACGGTTGAGACACTAAGAAAATGGTTTCAAAATGTACATTACACAAACCCTGAACCATTGCATAATGATGGTGGTGCTCTCTCTCTCTCTCTCTCTCTCTCTCTATTTATTTTAATCATGCATTATCAACTACATAGAAAGCAGCAACAAAAAACTTAGGGTTATCTGGGATAGGTGAAAGTGAGAGTTAAAAGAAAGTCATGTAAAAATCGCGCTTCACTTCCCCCCCCCCCAAAAAAAAAAAATATATATATATATATATATAATTTAATATGATAACAATAATAAATAAATAAATTTAAAAAAAATAAAAAAATAAAGAAATGGAAAAAACTGGATTTATATCGATGTCAAGGACTATCCGTTTTGGGAAGGAAAAAAATAATTACTGAAATTTTGAAAATTCAACAACAAAAAAATCGGGAAATTATCAGGCTTGCAGTGGGTAGACGGCAATATATAGCAGGAACTTTCTGCAGAAAGCACCGGATAGATTGGAAAGGAAAATCCAAGATAAATCATACACGATGATGGAGAAAACAATTTTTTAGTGAAATTCCCAAACTTGTAAGCAAAGTATATTATTTTGAAAAAACGTGAATTAAATCATGTAGTCATTGTAAGTAAAGTCAACCCTACAATAGTATTCTAATTTGATTTGTGCTAAGGTCTGTTTCACTAGTGCATGCAGCAATGATTATTGCCCAAAGTACCAGTGTTTCGAGAGAGAAATATGCCAAAATGGAATTTAATAAACGTGTGTATTAATACCTCCAAATCATCTAAGAACTGTAGACGACAGCAACATTTCAGAAAGTAAACAAAATTAAATCATGATTATTTAAACAACTTACCATCTTTAGAAATTGGGATAGATCCGGCGAAATTGAAGATAGAAAGTAAGATTTCTCTGGAACTCAGGTACCTATACCTCTCTTCTGGTCGACTTGCTTTTAAGGAGTGGCAAGGGTGGAGTGCTGACAAAGAGTACTATTCAGCGAAGAGTGATAACTCCCGACATAAAGCACGTGACCATAATTATGCTAGGAATGGTGTTGTTGTTATTTAAGTTTTAACGACGAGCATAATCCGTAGTGAATTTTTACGCCGAAGAAAGAAATCAAGGCTATAGTATTTATCAAGACGTTTTTTCTTCTTCTTTTTGTTGTAATTGTTGATTTTTAGCTTTAAAGATCAGTATTAAATCGTTTTCTATGCCGAATGGGATGGGTTGCTCAATCTGAGGGCTCTTATGTGTTCATTAAGAGTTCTGCCAGTTTCCCCAACATATGAATTGTTACAATCTGTGCACGTAATCTTGTACACAATACCTGTCTTTTCCTCTCTTGGGGTTTCGTCTTTTGGGTGGACAATTATGGATTAAGAGGATTAAGCCATCACTTAACAGGGACTCTGTGCACCTATTGTCACCGAAAAGACAATTAAATATAACCTGTGATCAATATAGACTGGAGACAGATTATACTGTTGCGCATTGCGACATTATAGATGCGAACCGGTGAATGAAACTGATTTTCTGAATAGATAGAGCTATTAATCAAAGTTTGGTGAAGCATCAAGCCAATCTAGAAAATCTTCTCTCAAAAGATTGAAGAAAGAAAGTAAAATTTCTCTGGATCTCAAGTACCGATACCTCTCTTCTGGTCGACTGGCTTTTAAGGAGTGGCAAGTGTGGAGTGCTGACAAAGAGTCTTATTCAGAAAAGATCGATAACTCCCGAAATAAAGCACGTGACCATATGCTAGGAATGTTGTTGTTGATTTTAGTTTTAACGACGAGTAAGCATGTACTTCCATGGTATAAGCATGGAGATATATATATATATATATCTCCATGGTATAAGTCTGTAGTAAATATTTACGCCAAAGAATGTGTGTGTGTGTGTGTAATCGGGTTTTTACAGACGTGTATCAAGCAGTCTCAGATATGATTATTTACGTCTAGGGACCGACCTCTAACGTCACCATCCAAAAGACGTGACTCAGTTTCGAACCTGCGTCCTCGTCGGCATCTGTTTGTAACTTCCATTGTTAGCTGGATTTCAGGCACACGCCACTCATTGTTGTTGTTGTTATTTTAGTTCTATTGACTTGTATCATTCATTTATGAATAGTTACTCCCCGTTGTAGCTGTAGCATTTATCAAGACTTTTCCTTATTATTTCCTCTTTCTTTTGCTCGTTTAGTTTTAGTAAATAATCGTGATATATTCCGGTCTAATAATAACGATAAAGATGCCAACAAAAAATTTGTGGGAAGTGCAAAAATAGTTCGCCACGTAATCATGGTAATACTCAGGGCATCTTTCCAGGGCTTTCAGAAGCATGGTTAGTGTACTTTTTAATATAATATTAAAGGGCGTTAACTTGATGAATTAGATCTAACAAGTTACCTGCATTTGTATGTTAAAAACATTTTTGAGAGAACAATGAGAAAAGGATGAGGAAATTTAGGAAGAGAGAGAGAGGGGAGAAGAGGTGCATGGTAGAGGAAAGACGGAGAGTAAATTAGTGGAATATAAATGTACACAAAAAGACAATTAAATATTCCCTATGATCAATCACAGACTGGAGACAGATCACTGTTGCGCATTGCGACATATCATTACGCCACTGGTGAATGAAACTGATTTTCTGAATGGATAGATCTATTAATCAAAGTTGGTGAAGCATAATATAAAGCCAATCTAGAAAATCTTCTCTCTCAGATCGGTCCATCAAAGTTAGTAAACACCAATGAAGTAGGGTCTAACCAGGGAGGTGAAAGAAAGGAGTGGAAACTCTTGTAATTCATTCAAACGCATTCGTGAGTTCTAAAGCGTAACAATGGGATGTGTAACATTCCACTTTGCTTTGAACTTCCATGCTCCGAACCGCGCTTCCACTGCTAGTGGAGGCTGTTAGGGATATTTTGGTGCAGATTCTTCTAAAAGCACCAAATTTGGCCCAGAGGCTGATTATACCATACTATTACGATTTCCGCCGGACGCCAAGAAGGGCGCACTCTGGGACTGCCATATTGGGCAAATCCAAAATGGCCGCCATCTGAATTAAAGGTCAAGCGTAGTTCCAAAAGAAAGCGCTTGTATGATAATAGTTTATATATTCATAGGGTTTTGGGGGACAGAGAATCTGATTATGATGTTCTTTCATTAATTGTAGGTCTCCTTGGGGCTGCCTTACTGGTAATATTGGTCAAATCCAAAATGGCCGCCATCTGAGTTACAGGTCAAGTGTAGTTATGAAAGGAAATGTGCTAGTATGATAAAAGGTTATATATTTGTAGGGTTTTCTGGGTCAGAGAATCTGATTATGATGTTCTTTCATCGATTTGAGGTCTCATTGGGGCTGCCATACTGGTCATATTGGCCAAAAAAAAATGGCCGCCATCCGAGTTAAAGGTCAAGCGTAGTTTCACTAAAGGAAAAGGACCAATATGATAAAAGTTGATGAATTCATGTGGTTTCCGGGGTCGGATAATCTGATTATGATGTTCTTTTAACAATAAGCGAGTTCGTAATTACACACTCCGCATGCGCCAAAATCGGGAACGAACTTTTACAAAGGTCACATGAACACAAAGAGAGCTGAGAGAGGAACTGTAATTCGTTTGGCCTTTCCTTTGTGAATGATCACATCTGACACCAGGGGCGTCGCCAAAGGGGGGTGTGGGGGGTGCGACACCCCCCACCCGTCAGGATATTGTCGGTAAAATTGCGCTGCCGTCGGGAAAAAAAAAGAAAAGGGGGAGGGAAAAAAAGAGAGGGAAAAAAAGAGAGGGAAAGGAAAAGAAAAGAAGAAAAAAAGGAAAAGAAAAGAAAGAAAGGAAAAGAAAGGAAAGAAAGGAAAAGAAAGGAAAGAAAAGAGAAAAAAGAAAGAGAAAAAAAGAAAAAGAGGAAGGAGAGGAAAGAAAGGAAAAGAAAGAAAAGAAAGAAAAGGAAAAAAAAAGAAGAAAAAAAAAGCGGGGGATGAAAGAGAGGGGAGGTAAGAGCCTGAGAGAGGAGGAGTGGGAGTAAAAGAGAGAGGGGGTTGTTGGGTGGAGTCGTCTCGTCGAGGGAGCAAGAAAGACACGTGTAAATATGTTGCTATGTCGGGTCAGCTGTGTCGGTATTCTTGCCCGATCCTCGTGTACTATATCAATGCAGAAGTTTGAAGTCGGTGAGATGTATATTGTCGGTCGGCCAACAAGTTTTTTTTCCCTACGAACTGTGACTTTTTATCCGCTGTGACGACTTCGAGAGTGACTACAACTACAATACTGGTATTTTCTCGAAGTTTCACTTTCCCATAATATCAGCTTAAGAAATCAGAGGTTTAAAATTGTCGGGGAAATAGATTCAAATAAGGATTAAGAGTCAACAACGGTACGACGAATCGTCTTCGTTTCTCTATATTTTGATGAAACGCCGAAAATTCCGCGCTTCGCGCGAGAGGGGAAAACTTCATTTAGACAAGTCGAGGACGGTACACGAATCGTCTTCTTTCTCTAATAATTTAATGAAACGTCAAAACTTCCTCCCGCGCTTCGCGCGGAAGGGGGAGAACTGAATTCTGATTCTCGGAACAGTACAACGAATCGTTTGCTTTCTCTCATAATTTAAGAAAACGTCAAAGCTTCCGCGCTTCGCGCAGGAGAAGGGAAACTGAATTCAGACCAATTAGGAGTCGCGAACGGTGCAACGAATCGTCTACTTTCTCTAATAACTGAAGGAAACGTCAAAACTTCCGCGCTTCGCGCTAAAGGGGTAAACTGAATTCAGACAATTAGGGCTAAAAATCGAAAACGGTACAACGAATCGTCTTCTTTCTCTAATAATTTAAGTAAACGTCAAAACTTCCGCGCTTCGCGCGGGAAAAGGGAAAATGAATTCAGACCAATTAGGAGTCGCAAACGGTACAACGAATCGTCTGCTTTCTCTAATAATTTAAGGAAACGTCAAAACTTCCGCGCTTTGCGCGGGACGGGGAGAACTGAGTTCAGATAAGGATTAAGAGTCGAAAACGGTACAACGAATCGTTTGCTTTCTCTCATAATTTAAGGTAACGTCAAAGCTTCCGCGCAGAAACACGAAGTTGTAAACCACCCAGAGACGCCTAATAAATTGCGTTACTGATTAATTAATTATTTCATTACAAATCTTTATTCTCAGTTTTCTTAAGTAGATTATAACTGATTTTCTTTTAAAATTAAAGATATTTATGGCGTATGTATTCAATACTGAATGAACGCCATTAAACTATTACCAACAACAACAACTTCCGCGCTTCGCGCGGGAGAAGGGAAACTGAATTCAGACCATTTAGGAGTCGCGAACGGTACAACGAATCGTCTGCTTTCTCTAATAATTTAAGGAACGTCAAAACTTCCGCGCTTCGCGCTAAAGGGGGAAACTTAATTCAGACAATTAGGGCTTATTAAGAGTCGAGAACAGTACAACGAATCGTTTGCTTTTTCTCATAATTTAAGGAAACGTCAAAGCTTCCGCGTTTCGCACGGGAGGGGGAGAACTGAATTCAGATAAGGATTAAGAGTCGAGAACAGTACAACGACTCGTTTGCTTTCTCTCATAATTTAAGGAAACGTCAAAGCTTCCGCGTTTCGCACGGGAGGGGGAGAACTGAATTCACATAAGGATTAAGAATCGAAAACAGTACACCGAATCGTCTGCTTCATGAAACGTCAAAACTTCCTCGCTTCGCGCGGGAGAAGGGAAACTGAATTCAGACCAATTAGGAGTCACGAACGGTACAACGAATCGTCTGCTTTCTCTAATAATTTAAGGAAACGTCGAAACTTCCGCGCTTCGCGCGGGACGGGGAGAACTGAATTCAGATAAGGGATAAGAGTCGAAAACGGTACAACGAATCGTCTTCTTTCTCTAATAAGTTAAGGAAACGTCAAAACTTCCTCGCTTTGCGCGGGAGAAGGGAAACTGAATTCAGACCAATTAGGAGTCACGAACGGTACAACGAATCGTCTGCTTTCTCTAATAATTTAAGGAAACGTCGAAACTTCCGCGCTTCGCGCGGGACGGGGAGAACTGG